GCACACAGGTGTCCTTAGAAAGTTGCTCTTTACTGAATTTTGTCACGCACTTCTTTGTTTACAGAATTTCTGCCCCACCCTTTAGAAAAGGGGGAAAAAAGGCTCTCTGGGCAACTTACAAAATTGAATTCTGAGACGGACCCTACCCTCGGGCTGATAAGACATGACACACAAGGAAAATGAAATGAAAGGAAGGAGAGGAAAGCAAGCTCAAGCTCTTAAAGATGCAGTCCTTCAACCAAAAATATGTACTGTATATTAGGGGGAAGTGTGCATGAGAATCCATTTGTTCATGAAAATGACAATAAAATGTAAAGTGCTCTTCTAAGGCCATCATTACTTTCTGTGGAAATGCATTCCATAGTTTAACTATGCACAGTACTTTCTTTGGTCTGTCCTGAAACTCCCAGCATTCAGCTTCTTTCGATGTCAACAAGTGCTATGGGAGAGGGAGAAAAAACCTTTCTCTATCCACTTTCTCCATAACATGCGACTGTTATACAGTATCTTCTCTTAACATGCTTTTTTCTCTAAACTGAAAAAGCTCCAAAGGTTGCAGCCTTTCCTCAAAAGCGAACTGCTGCATCCTCCTGATAAAAGCATACAGGATAAGGCTTTCACTGTCTATCAGCCACAATGGGGTATGCTTTGCCTACACTGTTGGAGGCAATATGCCTTTGAATAGCAGTTGTTGGGAATCGCAGAAAGAGAGAGCACTGTTGCGCTTGTGGGCTTCTCATAGGTACCTGGCTGGCCACTGTGAGAACAAGATGATGGAACAGATGGACCTTTTGCCTGATCGAGTAGGCCTCTTCTAATATTCTTTCTGGAGGCAGAAAAGCCACATGAAATAAGGATTGATAGACTCAGGATTGCATGCATTCACAGGTGCCTTGCTTTAATGTTAAAGGTAAAGGGACTCCTGACCATTAGGTCCAGTCGTGACCGACTCTGGGGTTGCAGCGCTCATCTCGCTTTATTGGCCGAGGGAGCCGGCGTACAGCTTCCGGGTCATGTGGCCAGCATGACTAAGCCGCTACTGGCAAACCAGAGCAGCGCACGGAAACGCCATTTACCTTCCCGCCGGAGCAGTACCTATTTATCTACTTGCACTTTGGCTTGCTTTCGAACTGCTAGGTTGGCAGGAGCAGGGACTGAGCAACGGGAGCTCACCCCGTTGCGGGGATTCGAACGGCCGACCTTCTGATCAGCAAGTCCTAGGCTCTGTGGTTTAACCCACAGTGCCACCCGCGTCCCTGCTTTAATGTTACTTTGTGAATAAATCACATCCAGGGAGCACCTTCTTCTAAAACCCTACATCTCCAGCCTAGCAATCCAGAGAAGGAAATTCCACTCAGCTGAAGAATGTGCTGTGTTCAGCTTTGTGCTATGCAGTATCTGTCTTGCAACATAAGCAAGCAACAGAACAGTCCCATCTATAAATAACTAAGTATTCAACTGAAAAAGCTTCTCAGGCATGAAATATTGCGATAAGGTTTTCACATGTAATACATTTTTATATAGAAGTCGGGCAGAGTGATATTATAACAGGTCCAATGTTAGTTTCAACAAGTATGGTTTAATTAATCAATATAGAGTGTGATTCTGCACACATAGCCCCCCCCCCCCGAAATCCTACTAAATCCCTTGGATGGCAAAAATGCCTGCATTTCTACTAAAATGCCTGCATTCGAGGAACTTCAGTAATAGTTGCTAGGTAGATAGAAGAAATTAGATTTATTGAGAATAAGTTTAATTATGAAAATGTGTATTGGCAATAAGTAATATGAATATGAAATATGGACTAGACGGGAAGTTGGGTCTTTAGTGTTAAGACCAATAGATGTTTTATTGTTTGCCAAGAAAATTATGTGTCTATGGTTAGTTTTGTAATTTGTGTGTAATTTTGTATTTTTTGTGTGTATTTTTGTTGTTGTATAAATAAATATTTTTTTTTAAAAAAAAGATATTATAACAGGTCCAATGTTAGTTTCAACAAGTATGGTTTAATTAATCAATATAGAGTGTGATTCTGCACACATAGCCCCCCCCCCCGAAATCCTACTAAATCCCTTGGATGGCAAAAATGCCTGCATTTCTACTACATAAGAAAAGGTGAGAACTTCTAGCTCCCAAACTGGATTCCATCATGTCAGCCAAATAAACATAGCTGCCAGGTAAGCTTTTGTCTAAGGTTTAAATTTAGTACACAAACAAAGAATAAAAGCCTTGTCACCTGCTCAGTTGTGGAGCAGCCAAACAATATGCCAGCAGGACCTGTTTATTTATTTTTAAAAGATTGTTGTGATGCAAAATAGAGTCTAATTTGTTTTTTGGGGAAAAACCAGAAGTTCAATACATTCAGAATTGTCTACAACTGGAAGCTACTCCCTTTGAGGTGGAACAACTATTATCTAATCCCAATGTGGGTCTGGGCAAGTTAATTCACTGGTATGTATAGAATGAACTCAGAGCTAGCTCTTAATCTTAGTCTGCATGCTCTAATCTAGGAAATGATGTCACCCTTTCCCCTCTGACTTACCTGGAAAAGCACGGGCAGAAATTCAGCAGACACCATTTCCCAGCATCAAGGAGCAATCAGAACAGTTTCACCACCTGTATTTCAGCTTCACAGGCTAGTTAAAATAAATAAATAGCCCTGTTCCTGCGCATATCGATAGCAGCCTGACACACCACAGTTAAGCAGGCAAAATGTTCCCCATTACTTTATGAAATCTCCAGGAAAAAGCTTCACGCTTGATTTCTGTGGGCTGCTGTTAAAAGGAACTTCTTAGAAATGAAGCAGTGTGGATTTTCAGGCTTGGATGATATCATAATTCTTCAAGGGTTAACTGACAACAGTAATTCTCTCTTTCTCTCAAGTTTGTCTCTGTGTTAATAATACAAGGGTGTTCAGCAGGGATTCCTTGCCATAGGGTTATCCCAGTCCTTAGGGGAGCTTTTCTAGCCTGAGGGCCTCATTCTGTCCTTTCTGGCAGCCTTCCAAGGGTCCTATGGAAGGAGCAACAAATGTAAATTTTGCCTTAGCCCTGTAGGCTAATTTCTACACACACCTCTCCATCTTCCAGTCAGGCAACCAAGGACTTAGAAGTGTTCAAGGACACATTCCAGCCAGGCAAAAGCACTCAAGGCAAGTTCAAGGCAGGTCCAAGTGAGGAGTGTGGCCTGGAGAGAGTCCTTAGGGCCAGACAGAAAGGCTTGGAGGGCCACATTCTCCTCCACCCCCCTTGCCCTGAGGTGCCCGACTCCTGCTTTAGGGGTTCTGTATCTTGGGGGCATGAGTTTTGTTGTAGCAGTTGTTCCCCAGCTTTGAATTTGAGATCTATTTAGAACTCAAGTCCTAAGAAGGATCATTATTCTTTTTATAAACAGCTCTGAGGTTTTATTACTATCAAGTGAGATATAAATGCTGGGAAATAAAATAAATAACTAAATTCCCTAACAGTCTTTTTTTTTCCTTCAAGTTGCTGGGGCAGTGAAGTTTAAAAAGCAGATAAAGAGGTTAGGGCTTTTGCAGATTTAATAGTAAGAACCAGTGCTTTCCCCCCCCCTTGAAAAATAGGTGCCCAGTACTCACCATGAAGTTGTTACAGTAAGTGCAACACTTTTTAGTAACAACGAAAAGACGTGCCGGTACTGCGTACACTTGAGTGCCCCCTGGGAAGCACTGGTAGGAACTACCTCTTTTATACGAGAAGAGGTTAGGCATGCGATATCTCGGATCCAACGTCTGAAGTGTATCGGTTTTCAAGAGGGTCCTTATCCCCTTTGAACCTGTTGCTTTTTTAAAAGATGCCTTTGTTGAAAACTGGGACGCGGGTGGCGCTGTGGGTAAAACCTCAGCGCCTAGGACTTGCCGATCGCATGGTCGGCGGTTTGAATCCCCACGGCGGGGTGAGCTCCCGTCGTTTGGTCCCAGCGCCTGCCAACCTAGCAGTTCGAAAGCACCCCCGGGTGCAAGTAGATAAATAGGGACCGCTTACCAGTGCAGGGACGCGGACTTATAAAAAATATTGGGGGGGCCCGGGAAAGCTCATGAATAATAAATAAGCTCATGAATATGCAAATAAAGTGGCTCCGGCCCTAAATAGGGCAAGCCACGCCCCCCCAGCCAGCCGATTGGCTGGCTGGGAGGTGTGGCCAGTCGGGATTCCCCTGTTCTCGCGGGGGCTGAAACCGCCAGGAGGAAGGAAATTCCCCCCGGCAGTGCCTTGGCAGTGGCGGTGGTGCTGCGAAGCAGCGAGGCAGGAGCCCCCGCCCCCGGCGCCCGAGATTATTGGGGGGCTGAGCCCCCCCAAAAAAATTTTTGAGGGGGCTGGAGCCCCCTCAAGCCCCATGGAGTCGGCGCCTATGTACCAGTGGGAAGGTAAATGGCGTTCCGTGTGCTGCGCTGGCTTGCCAGATGCAGCCTGTCACGCTGGCCATGTGACCCGGAAGTGTCTGCGGACAGCGCTGGCTCCCGGCCTATAGAGTGGGATAAGCGCACAACCCTAGAGTCTGTCAAGACTGGCCCGTACGGGCAGGGGTACCTTTACCTTTACCTTGTTGAAAACTAACCTCCTTTCTTTTCATATGCAAAGGAGGAATATAACAATGATCTCCCATCAGCTGCTTCCGTTTGTCTGTGGAGAGGCTATATTCACCATTCATGCCTTTTTAGGAATATGCTCGGAAAGACATTGCCTGCAGACACAGCACATAACTAGACTCGCGCCCAGGTATTGTTGCCCACAGTTTGTAATTGTTTCGGAAAATATATATTTTTTATTGGGGGGGAAACCCTGAAATGGGAAGGAAGACTCACGAGTCACCTTAACATGAAAATATAGAGATCATTGGGTTTAAGGGAAAACTGGACCTGCAATTTACCTGCAAGATTCCAGCCCCCAGTGCGCCCGGACCCAAAGGATTATGGGAGCTGTAGTCCAAAGCGCCGCGAACGGGGGGAAAGAGGCGGGGCGGGGCGCCGAAGCTCTCGCGAGACTTGGGGTGGGGTTCCTCACCGCCTCACCTGAGGGAAGCCGCTCAGTCCTTCCCGGGCAGCGGCAGAGAGCGGGTGTCAGGCGGACGACGAAGCCATGTCGGCCCCAGGCTCTCCGTCGTCTCTGGGGCCCCGCTGGGCCCCGACCCACGTCCAGGTGACGGTGCTCCAGGCGCGGGGGCTTCGCTCCAAGGCCAAGGGCGGCGGCGGCGGCGGCAGCGGGAGCGACGCTTACGCGGTGATGGCGCTGGGCAAGGAGAAGTTCGCCACGTCGGTGGCCGAGCGCTGCCTGGGCTCTCCCGTGTGGCGGGAGGAGGCCACCTTCGAGCTGCCGCCGCCGCCCCGGAGGAGCCTGTCGGCGGGGGGGCCTCCGCTCTCGGCCGGGCCCACGGCCGTGCTGCAGCTCACCGTCCTCCACCGCGCCCTGCTCGGCCTCGACAAGTTCCTGGGCCGCGCCGAGATCAGCCTGGCCGAGCTGCACTCCGAGGGCGGCCGCCGAAGCACACGGTGAGGGGAGAGCGAGCGGGCGAGGGGTCTCCCGTGGAGCTCCCGCTGCCAGGGGCAGTCTACCTGCCGGGGCGCGGGCGCATGCGCGGAGGGAGGGAGGGGGCTGGTGGCAGGCGCTGCCCAGAGAGGCCTCCGAAATGTGACCCGTTGCATCTGATTTTCGCTCCTTTTATTTAGGGAGTCATAGCAGGACTTCTGAAGGAATGCGGATAAGGGCATGCTTTAACTTCAAAGGAGAGAGAGGAAATGCGCCAGAGTGTTGTGGTCAGTGTAGGATTAGCCGGGTTCATGGGGCTTCCTCTTGATATGCGGCCAAATTAGGTATTTCTGAAGGTGTCACCTCCCGCCGCGCACCCAACCCCCCGAAGTTTGCTCCTGTTCTTGGCCGCACACCTTCCCAGCTAAGGTGGCCAAAAATCTGGTTTTGCCGCCTTTCGACTCTTGTCGATCGGTTTTGTAAAAGGTAATGTGATCAATAGGAACACAAACCGGGAGGTAAAGTCGCTTTGACAGGTGAAATCCGACTTAACTATGACGATTTCAATTACTCGTCTGTTGTTCAGTGTTGTTTTGTATATTAATGGATTGTAATTTTGGCAACATAAGTAGTATCACTATATTCACTCCTCAGTGGCACTCTTGAAAAAATTAATTTCAGTTCTATGCTTCAGTTCTGGGTTGAAACTTGTTGGGCGCAATAATATATTTTTTTACCTGTTGTGCATCTGGTGGCTTCCTTTTCTGGTGCACTTGTTGTGTGTGCCAGATATGTGACTACAGAATAGCATCAATTAGTATCATCATATATGTAGCACTTTGTTGAGTTCCAGTTGCTGCATTTTATGGAGGAGAAAGACTGTGATGCAAAAGGTGGAGCAGATTTGTTCTACGTTACTCCAGATGACAGATGTAAATGCAATGACTGAAAACTTTTAAGTAAGATGGTTTTGACTTTACGTTAGGAGAAACTTCTTAAGTGTATGAGTAGTTCAAAGGCAGATCAGACTGCCTTGGGAAGTGGTGGGATCTCCTCCTATGAAGGTTTGTAAGCAATGGCTAGATGCCCGTTTGCTTAGGAAGCTGTGTATTTGCAAGATTCCTGCACTGAATCTGTTGGGCATTGGGCTAGATGACATCCAAGGTCCCTTACTACTCTATAGTTCTATTTGAAGATGTTGACTTCCTGCTGACTAAATGGCATTTCCAGGTTCAGAGGCAATTTACCTATGTATGTCAGAGGCTCAAGGTCCACATGTCCAAGCAGGTGTCAAACAGCATGCTGCATGAGAATTATTCATCTCAGCTGTTTATCTGACAGCAGCGAAAGCTAAGCTCTTAACACGATGGATCATGGATTAAAAATGCCACTTTTAGTAAAGATTCCACCGTTGTCCATAGAGTTTACTGGGAGACTACGGGTGAGTCACACTCAGTCTAATCAATCACAAGGGTTGTTGTGAGAATGAAATGGGATGGGGAAATGAGAACTATGTATGTCACTCATACATAGTTATTTGAAGTAAGGGTGGGGCAAAAATGCAATAAGCAAACATTGCAAGCAGAGGCGGGATCAAACTTTTAAAAACACTTTATTAAAACTTGAAATAAACAGCCGTATAATGTGCTACAGCATAATATAAAGAGTTGGTGTGGTGTAAAGGTTAGTGTCAGACTAGGACCTAGGAGACCAGGGTTCAAGTGACTGCTCAGCCATGAAGGGTTGTTATGGGGATTAAATGAGGAGGGGTAGAATCATGTATGCCATCTTGAGCTCATTGGAGAAGAAGGTGGGCTATTAAACAAGCAAGCAAGCTTTGAAGAACTTGTAAAGTATCCTGTTGATACCTTTCCTAAGCAGAGTCCTCCTGGATCACGGTAGTTGGCATACTTAATTTTATTCCATTGTTGTAAACTTCCCTAACAACCTACTTTTAGCTAAAGGGAAGAATAAACATCTATTAAATAAAATAATTTGTATCCTGCTCTGGATAGCGGTTATCTCAATGCATCCAGGAAACATGCAAGCAGGGTGTGGAACTGACAGTTCTTCCTCAGTTTGCTGCCTTGGCAACTGATATTCAGTGGTATTAATGCTTGTGAACATGGAAGTTCCATTAAGTTGTCAAGGCGAGTAGCTGATACAAATTTAGTTAATTCCTTTATAGAGCCTCCTAAACTAGGGTCCATCTCCCAATCATGAATCCCCTAAGCGATGGCATCTTTGTCTTCTCCTTAAATCTTGGTTTGCAGCGGACTGAGCAGCGGGTGCTCTTTAGAGATGTTGGTTACCAGGATGCAGTGAAAGAAAATATTAAGCTGGTTAGAATTTAACACTTTTATATTTTGGAGATTATTGGGTCTTGTTCTATAAAATATTGACTCAGTTTGATGTGGACAAAGGGATTGGCTGAATCAAGGCTAGAAACGAACTGTTAGCACCGCAGCAGAATTTGATGAGTTATTTGATAAATTGGACTCTTTCTGATTACTCCTCCAGTCATAATACTATCTGGATGGCAATTAATAGTGAGGAGGAAGTGAGAGAAAAGGGAAATAAACACTAAACAAACATCATGGGACAAGGTAGGAGTGGTGAGGTTACTAGGACTTGACACTTCCCTATTGCAACGAAATACTCTAAAGAACCGAGGCTAGATCCAAGAGGAATGAAACCCACACCACCCACTCAAGGGAGTATTGGCCAGGATATTCAGGGCACTTCCCTAGCACTGCTATACAACTTTTATAACATATTTCCCCGTATATAGCTGGCCATTGTTTGTAGAAAACATCCCCTTCCCATACTTTTGTATTGAGATGTTGTATTGTACTTTTACTATTTTTTGTTAGGAGCTGCCCAGAGTGGTTGGAGCAACCCAGTCAGATGGGTGGCATATAACTAATAAGTTGTCGTTACTATAAGTCTCCCTCCTTTAAAATATCAATCAATAATCCCACTACAAAAAGGTGCCTAGACATTCCTTTGTGGCAACTGTAACCGAGGTTTATGGTGCCATTTGGTGACTAGCTTATATATCTGAGTTTCTAACACTAGTTTAAAAAATAAAAAAGGTAAAGGAACCCTGACAGTTAAGTCCAGTCACGGATGACTCTGGGGTTGCGCTGTTCATCTCGCTTTACAGGCCCAGGAAAGCGGCGTTTGTCCGCTGACAGTTTTTCCGGGTCATGTGGCCAGCATGACTAAGCCGCTTTCTGGTGAAACCGTAGCAGTGCATGGAAACACCGTTTATCTTCCCACCTGAGTGGTACCTATTTATCTACTTGCACTTTTTGGCGTGCTTTTGAACTGCTAGGTTGGCAGGAGCTGGGACCAAACAATGGGAGCTCACCCCATCGTGGGGCTTCAAACCGCTGACCATCTGATTAGCAAGCCCAAGAGGTTCAGTGGTTTAGACCACAAAGATGACCCATTAATTAGATGACAGATTTTAAAAGTGCAATAATGTTTTCAGAAATTGAATACCTTTTTAAATTACAGAATTGCTTTTTCTAAGATGTGTGCTGCAACACATGCATTATTTTAAAACAAAATATGCTTCCATCAGAACAGTTTGTTTTATATTTGTACATATTATTCAGTAGGTTGATTGACTAAAACTCATGATCAGTTAAGTTTTCTTCAATAGGTTGATAGCTCTTGGGATTTCACACCTACCCAGTTATGCTTCACATTGTGCCATTTTATGTATAAGGTTTAAACCAGTGAGTAAGAATTTTAAAAAAATCTGCTTAGCATTTATAGAGTTTAAATAGCCTTGTGTACATTTTCTTGTTGTTCTTTACAAACAAGCCTGGAATGCAGATTAGTATTATTCCCATCCTGACTTGTGTAATATAACCACTTTGTAAGTTCATTACAAAAGCAATATTCAATCCAGGTTCCTAGGTAGCTTTTTAGCCACATTGTGCTATTCAAGCAGTTTATCTAGTACTGTCAGGTGAGCTGTTGGGGACATAGCTCTATTGGCCAGCAATGATATTTGAGCAATAGATTCAAATATAAATACTGATAAAATACCGTATTTTTCGCCCCATAAGACGCACCAGCCCATAAGACGCACCTAGTTTTTTGGGGGGAAATAAAGGGGAAAAAATTATTTCCCCCCCAGGTGCGCTGCGCTACACGAGGAGCTTGGGGCGTGCGGAGCTCAGCGCGCCCCAAGCTTCTGCGTGCGCGCAAGCAGTCCGCTAGCCTTGGGAGAGCCGCGGGGCTCTCCCGGGGCTAGCGGATCGCTGCGCTACACCAGGAGCTTGGAGCGTGCTGAGCTCAGCGCGCCCCAAGCTTCTAGGTGCGCGCAATCAGTCCGCTAGCCTTGGGAGAGCCGCGGGGCTCTCCCAGGGCTAGCGGATCGCTGCGCTACACCAGGAGCTTGGGGCGTGCTGACCTCAGCGCGCCCCAAGCTTCTGCGTGCGCGCAAGCAGTCCGCTAGCCTTGGGAGAGCCGTGGGGCTCTCCCGGGGCTAGCGGATCGCTGCGCTACACCAGGAGCTTGGGGCGTGCTGAGCTCAGCGCGCCCCAAGCTTCTAGGTGCGCGCAAGCAGTCCGCTAGCCTTGGGAGAGCCGCGGGGCTCTCCCAGGGCTAGCGGACCCCTGCGCTACACCAGAAGCTTGGGGCGTGCCGAGCTCAGCGCGCCCCAAGCTTCTGCGTGCGCGCAAGCAGTCCGCTAGCCCTGGGAGAGCCGCGCGGCTCTCCCAAGGCTAGCGGACTGCTTGCGCGCACCTAGAAGCACAGGCTGCCGCCCCAAGCCTCGCGCACCCGGTGGGACCTCCTGCCGGGTGCGCGAGGCTTGCTGACACTCGCCCGAAGCAGGGGAAGCCCTCCGGAGGGCTCCCCGTGCTTCGGGCGACAGGCTGCCGCCCCAAGCCTCGCGCACCCGGTGGGACCTCCTGCCGGGAGCGCGAGGCTTGCTGACACTCGCCCGAAGCAGGGGAAGCCCTCCCGAGGGCTCCCCGTGCTTCGGGCGACAGGCTGCCGCCCCAAGCCTCGCGCACCCGGTGGGACCTCCTGCCGGGTGCGCGAGGCTTGCAGACACTCGCTCGAAGCAGGGGGAGCCCTCCGGAGGGCTCCCCGTGCTTCGGGCGACAGGCTGCTGCCCCAAGCCTCGCGCACCCGGTGGGACCTCCTGCCGGGCGCGCGAGGCTTGCAGGCATTCGCCCCATAAGACGCACCCCGATTTCCCCTTCATTTTTGGAGGGGAAAAAGTGCATCTTATGGGGCGAAAAATACGGTAAGTAATGTGCTATAGTAATTTTTCACTGATGCCTGCTTCCATAGCTATTGTAGAACAGACCCTGCCATTAAAATGTGTATGTGCACCATGATTCTTGGCTATCTGTGTTAAGAGTACAAAAAGCAACATTTTGTAAGAATGCATAATACCCTTCTGTTTGGCAAACATATTTTTAGACTGAGCTAAACATCCTAGATTTTAAAACTGTAAGTCACAGTGTATTACAAAAACAGTGTTTGTAAAGAACTCTTTTAAAAGTGTCTTACTGTGAATAATGGCAGCTCTCATACTCAAATATTTAACGTAACAAGTCCAGCAGGCTTACCAAGTTTACTTTGGCAGTCTTGACTACTTTATACAGCCATGATAAGTATTCAAAGTATGTTAGAAACAAATGTCTTGTTCATAACACTTTATTGTTAGAATAAACAGCACAAGTCAGAGTTGAAGCACTTTATTAGTTTTACAGATGAAAATTGGGGCTTCAAGGTTTATGTCGGGATCTATCAATTAAGAGGTAGCTCACTAATCAACACCACACCCTTAACATGTGGACAGACAGTGCAAAGATGCAATTCAGACCAGTTAATATTTTTTCGTCTGAAGGCAGGGAGATCTGAAATTTGGATGAAAATTCGTAAAACAGAAACACTTCCCTGTGCTGAAAGAATTAGATGTCAATGAGATTATTTCTGACAGGCCTTTTCCCTGATGTGGTAGTACTGTATGTGCTTTTTGTTTTGTTTTTTTTAAGGGTAATCTTTTAGCCATGCAATAACTTCCTGTAGTTTGTCTAGAAATAGTTTCACCATGCTATCCGCTGTTTTAGGAAATTGGGCCACATGATGAGCTTTTAAAATGTGAATATAGAAAATCGCTCACTTGTGTTCTAGTGCTTTTCCCTCCTCTAGTTCTTCTCTTTTGTTTCCTTTCCTGTTTTGATATGTATGCTTTTAAGGCATGCAATCTTCTGAAAATATTGTCGGAAAATTCCATATTTGGGGAGAAATTGCATGCTTTTGTACATAAGCTGCTGTTTCTGTTCTAAAACTTTCCTGGTAATGACTTTCTCGTTTTCTCTCTTTCTAGCTCTGTATCCTCTGCTGTATCCCGCTCCGTTCAAGACTGTTCTGCAGAATTTGTCTTGGTTCATGTTGTGCCTTTCAGGGAGTAAGAAGGTTAGACACACTAAGATGGCATGCATCTTGGGTTTTAGTGCAGAAACAGTCTATTCTACAGAGTTCCTCTGACAGTTGATACCTTTTATGCAGATGTCTTCATGGCATAACCTTAAATGGACAAGGTCATGCTGTGGAGCTGTTCTACCATAACTCATGAACTAGTAAGGCCTGCTGATGTTGCATGATACCAGAGCATAACAGCACAGGTTAGGTGGAGCTGTTAAGCGATCATGGGACTCGGCTTAGTAGCAGAGCCTTTCCTGTGTCTTCCTGCAAAATTATATGAATATTTGGGGGAACCCATTGCCCTGGACAATGGATAAATTTACAGTACAAAATTAACCCTTTCCTGGCATGGTTCTCATTGATCCTCTGGGGGGAGGCCCCAGAAAGCAATTCTGGAGAAACACTTGTTTTGTGAGGGTGCTTATAATTATTACATTATTGTAATCCCCTTTATTGAACCACACTTCCAAGGACTTAACTGAGAACCATGAAGCTATAGACAAATCTGTAAATATGTGACACATGACACATTTAATCTAGCTTTGAAGTCCTGTGACAGAAAAGGTGAAATAGAAATATAGGTAACTCGCAATGCTTATTTTGCCTACGTGATTGCTGATTTGGGCCGGGGGGTGGGGTGGAGCAGAACAAACAAACAAATGGAGAGTGGAGGAAACATTACAGAGCAGCATCCTAGAGCCCTTGTGTTGCCTGCAGAGAAGCAGGTAAGCGAGACACCTGGTTCTGAGGGTTCCTGGCTCTATGCGATTTTGCTCTTATGTGCAATGGCCAGGAATGTAACCACTGCATAAGATGCGAGTTAGCTGTAATTATATCTTCTGTTAGTACAGGCATAGGCAAACAGCTCTCCAGATGTTTTGGGATGACAGCTCCCATCATTCCTAGCTAACAGGACCAGTGGTCAGGGACGATGGGAGTTGTAGTCCCAAAACATCTGGAGGGCTGAGTTTGCCTATGCCTGTGTTAGTATGTCTGTGAATATTCACTTGGATGAGAAAACAAACTTTTCCTAGACATCTTGGGAACATGCCCAACATACTGGTAGCATGCCGGCTACCAGTTTCTTATCACAGATCTGTAGAGACCCTCTGTTCCAGGAGTGACGTCCTTAGCATTTTAGAAATCTTTGCATGATGCTTCCAGAGTAACTATTTCTGAGACTCATGTGGTAATATGGATAAATTATTTCATAACAGCATGTTCTCCTTTTAAAATAGGCTATTTGTTCTCTTCTCTTCCTCTTCCCCTTTACTTTTTCTTTTCTTTTTCGAAAATGGACTTTGCTGGCTAAATGCCACTAATATCAGTCTACAGACCTATCTGGCATTTTGCTTACATGGAGAACCTGACTCTGTTTAGCTTGAACTGAAAATTAACTATTTTATACGTAACAGAATCTGAGACCTTGTGGGAAAAGGGTAGATAGGAAATATTTAAGCCCCTGATGCTGAACCTTTGCTGTTCTTTATTTATACAGATGGTACAAGCTTCACTCCAAACCAGGAAAGAAGGAAAAAGAGAGAGGTGAGATTGAGGTGGATATCCAATTCATGAGGAGCAACATGACAGCCAGCATGTTTGATCTGTCCATGAAAGATAAGTCACGGACACCATTTGGCAAGCTGAAAGACAAGCTAAAGGGGAAACGAGGCAATGGATTGCCAGACACAGCTTCAGCTATTGTTCCTAGCATTAGTCACTCTCCAGCTGACAGTGAGGAAGAGTCAAATGAGAAAGAAAAGAAAAAATCAAAGTTCAAGACCTTATTCTCCAAACCTGGTTTACAGAAAAGCAACCTCTCTCAGTCCATGTCTGTGTTACCTTCTCTCCAACCGGTTACAGAGAGAGTTCGACTTAATCCCAGTGACTTTTCATCGCGGTGGAGTGATAGTGATGATGACACTTTAACTCCTGTTTCAGAGAGTAAGTATTGTCTATTGAAAAGAGAATAAATTTCTCATATGTTTTAACAGTTGTGTAATTTACAAAGTGTGCTAAGTAGTAAAATGTGCCATTTCTTCATAATAGTTAAGCTGGACTTCTTGTGTTATTTAAAGACAGGGCTTGGAAGCTGTGAAGAAACAGAAGTGTTTTCATGATTGTGTTTTCATGATAGTTGTAAATGAGTAGAATGCAGGTGGGTCTCAGTGGTCCCCAACCTCAGTGTACTGCTGTTGTTAAGAGCCATCAGTTGATCTAGGGCTGGATTAGGTATTAGTATTTTCAGTAGTATTGGGACTTGTGCTTTCACTATTTGATGCGGATTTCTTTCTTTTCAGAACCCTCCACAAATGAAGATAACCTGCTTTATCCACCTTCCACCAAGTCTCATAAGAGAACAAGTAGTGCAGATAACAAGCAACTAAGCCAAATCTCCTCCAGTAACACCAAGAAGGATGTACATTCTTTATTTGGTGGACTGAAGTCCAAAAGTGACCCCACTTCCCGGTCCAATGTGTGTATCAATGGCAGTCATGTTTACATGGAGGAGCGTGACCCCAAAAGTGATACTCTTCCAAAAGACAGCACTCTATCTTCCCCTCAGATATCCCAGCGAAAACGGCTCTTTTTGTCCCAGGAGAACTTATCTTCTGAACCCAGTAAGGAACCTGAAATGACAGGAAGACTACCTTCTGACAAAGGACCACCAGGGTCTTCTTCACTGGAGTCCTTTAAAGCCATGACTCTACCATCATACAAGTTGCTGAGTGCTGGGGATATGCCAGAAAGCAACACTCCAGTTATTTCAGACACTCCAAAAGAGACCAAAGAGAACAAAAAGCAGGAGAACAAGAAATCTGGCTTGCTGTCTCTTATGACAGGGAAAAAAGAAGCTAAAGTTAGTGAGGAAGTAGAGAGCAACGCAGACACCACTCCGAAGGTGAAGGAAGTAAAACGTAATGAAAAAGAGTTGGCCAAGAAAGAAGCAAATCCTTTTGAAGTCCCTGTGGATAACAGAAGAGGTCATAGCTCAGATAAGAGCAACACTGCGGATCTCCGAATCACAAAGACATCCTTGAACCCTTTTGACGAAAACATCTCAGCAGAAGAGAAGCCAGAAAAAAACTCAGCTTCTGTGAAACCATCTCAGACCAAACCCGTCAAGCCCAGGTTAGTCTTGAGAAATGATCTTTTCAATTGAATCTTGAGATCTTGAGATGCTTTAAGGCTATTGCTACCCAGTGGTTTTCATTGTATGTCATAGAAAATATCTAATCCTCCTGATAGGGCAGGCATGCCTTGTGTAGGTTTCAGTTGATTAGTAACTCTGCAGGTAATTTGTAGGGTTTCTGTCTCTAGCCTTCTTGAAAGGAAAGAAAGGAGAATGCATGCTGCCTTCAGAACAAAGATGATCCACTTTCTTGCAAGGGGAGGGCAAAGAGAGTGAGTCAGTCCCTCTTCTGCCTCCAGGATGGAATGCTGTCTAGCAGAGAATGTATCCAAGCTGGCTGAACTTGATCCTTTCTATCTCTTCTTCCTACTGTCTATCTTACAGGGAGAGGAATCGAAACAAAGGCAGGCACTAGCTTTGTTGTGTTTGCCCAGCTGGTCAAATGCAGCTGAGCTAGTTTTCACTCATCTTTTTATGTCTTATCTTTTTTTGCTGAGGAGAGGAAAAGATGGCGGTTAGTCCAGCCAACGTATTGGGCTTGTCTGACCCAGAAAACTGGTGTAACTAGCTAGCTGCTGCTCTTTGTGGCAAGGAGGAATTTTAAAACACAATTATGGGTTAAAGTCTTTGTATCAATGTCATGTAGGTGGGCCAAGGCCTGAAGTTCTTTAGCCCTCCCAGACTTAAAGCATTAGTTCTACATCAGGAAGGAAAAAGAGAACAGCTGTCTTTCGTGAAGAAACAGCCAGTGCTACTGGCAGTTGTCCTTCGTGGTTCCTTCTTGCTTGAGTTGGGGAGGGGTGTGATATTATCTCTCTTCTGTCGTCTGAAAGTAGAGGTGGGAGGAATACTGAGATGGAGCAGGAAAGACTCAGAAAAGTGAATCAAAATGGGTTACCTCCTAAGCCCCTGAATATTTAAGGCTGCCACATATTAGCTGATTACGTGATCTTGTGGTATATTTGTTCATAAGTTGATATTTAAATATTCAGACATGTATATAAGTGCTGTGAACACCATTAGTGACTTGGCTTTGTTTTTATGTTACTGACACTGGTGCATGTGGGAGAATTGCTCCCTATTGCTCTAACTTTAAACTTACATCTCTTTCTTTACAGTTTTGACTAGTGAAACAACATTCTTTTAACATTGTTGGGTGACCTTGTTTCTGTTCAGCTCCTGCAAAATGATTAAATTTTGCACCTTTCAGCAATCTAAAATGCAATTTTTATGGCTTGGTGGAATGCAACCTTTGGATAAAACGTTGCTTTTGCATGGAAGCTGTGTGTCACAGAGGCACCACTCTTTTTCCTGCCTAACTCCCATTTGCTTGGTGCTTTGTATATTTCACTGTACTACTAATACTTTGATAATACTATAATGTAATTGGGATTAAAAAGGTGTTCCATTGAAAAGAGATGTTACTGATAGACTTTTTAAAATGTACAAAACACTTTCATTCAGGCAACGTGTTGTTTTCTTTTATAAGCATTTGCTGCTGTTAAAAGGTAAATTATAATATGAAGGGGGTGGTTTGCTAAAACCCTACACCTTTCCTATTCACTTAACATGCAGCAGCCTTGTTGAACTTGTCTTCAAAATGTTTCTGCCTGTCTTACGTTGCATCTGCAACTGACATGCAGGTTTTATTTTGTCCCTTTTTACAGACTGGGCGTGTCTTCAGAGGATGAAACCAAAGCCACTTCTGCTATTTCTGCACCTCCTTCTGCTTCTCTTTTCTCTCCTTCCTATCACTCTAATAAAAACAACCCTTTTATCTCTAAATTTGATCCAGAAGAGCAACCTCGGGACACTGATAGGTTTGCTAGTGACAACAATCCTTTCACTATTAAATGGGGACAGAAATCCAAGCAAGATACTGAATGCTTTATAGCTACCTCTTCTGCTTCTGGAAATGAAAATAAACCATTTGCTCCTAAAAGGGAACAGGAATCCCAGATAGAGGATTCTTCAAACTCTGCTAAGTCTCCCCTGCCTGTTCCTGCAGCTTCTGTTCTTGAGTTGGAGCCTTCTGCCTTTCAGCTTTCTGGTACTGATAATTCTCCCGTGTCTAAAGTGGGAGAGGACTCTGGAAGTTTTAACAGTCCTCCAGCATCTTTCTCTACTTCCTCCTTAGCAGGAAACCTTGATGATTCCAAGCACGTTCATGTTGTTCCTTCAGACAAGCCCCAAAAGGAAGGTTTAACTAACCAGATAGATCCTGGATCCAGTTTTCCTGGATCTCTAGCTGGCAGTCACCCTTCACGGTTTTATGATAGGGTTGGACTCATCCTGAAGTCTCAGGGCGATGACAAAGTGCACATAGTGCCACCATTTAAGGAAAACCGAGGGAGCATAAAGAAGTCGGTAACCTTTGCCCTTGAGGATGAAAATGTGGGGAGTAGTGGCGACGATGCTTCAGATGGTGAAGATTCAGTTGAGAGCTGGCATGATGAAAGCAAGATTTCAATAAATCCCACTGAAAGGAATGAGGGGCGAAGACCTGAACTATATGTAGAACATTGTGCCGCACCTGAGCCCCGGAATGGAAAACGTACAATCTCTTCATAACAGTGAGGGTCCTTTGGAAAGACAGGCTGAAGCCGGCTTCTCAGTTAAAGTAGAGCCACCGGTTCCAACTCCGAGAATTCTCGCGCCTTTGCCTAACATGCCGAGGACTGTGTCAGGTAGCAGTTCTCTCTCTGAGCCCCCAAAGCCAGCACCAAGAAGTGCCCTAAAACAAAAAAAGAGTGTATCTGTTTCTTTGATGGATGAATCAGAAACAGAAAATGGGTCAAGCTCTGCCTCTACATATAAAGAATTTTCTGCAGAAAATTCTTTCATCTCTAGTGAAAACTAACAAGCGATAGCTCGTTAGCAACTTCAGTATCCAATATACTTAGTTCTGGAAGAGATGGTGGAACCATGGATTCCTCTCAAAGTATGAGTACCGATCTCCCTCACTACGCAACAAGCACACAGCCTGGCAATTTGATCCCTGGAGATCTGAATGTAAAACCCACCACCCTTTCTGCTATTCCAGAAGTGGGATCGGATGATGAGCAGCTGAGTGATTATCCCCAGGGTACTGAAAAGATTGCAGTTTCTGGAGATTTGTCCAGGAGTGGAGATGTTTCCTCAGAGTTACGGTCCTCCATTGAGGGGGAGAGCTGACAGCAAATAAAAAGGCAACTGCTGAGAGGCAGACTGTACCGCTTCTCATGAAGACAAGTGCTCCTGATGATGGATTTGAACTAAACAAACCATTGGTTGCACCTTCAGCGCTAGCCCTTGAAAATGCAAGCCATGATGTAAAGGGATTGGAGCAGAAGAATGCTGACAGCTTAAAAGAAACTAGACAGGGTGATAGTCCTGAGTTCTCTGTTAAGCCTGTTCATCTTTCCCCTCTGCCCAGTTCTTCTCAATCTATTAGTTCTTTCCAATCTGATGCTTCTGGCTGTAATAGAGCAGAGCCTACGAAAAAAGCTACAGCAGAGGGCTTGGGTACCAAAGTGGATCCCTCTGGCAAGAAGAAGCTGCTCCAGGCATGGGTTTCACCCTCTGAAACACATCCCAATCAGAATCTGCAGAGTGATGGAACTTATCCTGCTAAGCTCAGGTGAGAGGAATTGGGGGGGGGGAGCAAAGATAAAGGCTCAAGTGCTATACTGTGCATGGCTTTGATTCTTCCCTCCCCTTTTTAACGCAGTAAGGGATTTTGTGTCCTATGGACAGGTGAAAATCTTTCCCTGTTGATCTGTATCTATTTCTTGTAGCAATGTCAATGAAGGAATAAAACTAAGCAAAGGTTTGTTTTGCTTAGGCAGTAAGGTAAAGGTAAAGGGACCCCTGACCATTAGGTCCAGTCGTGACCGACTCTGGGGTTGCGGCGCTCATCTCGCTTTATTGGCCGAGGGAGCTGGCGTACAGCTTTCGGGCCATGTGGCCAGCATGACTAAGCCACTTCTGGCGAACCAGAGCAGCACATGGAAACGCCGTTTACCTTCTCGCCGGAGCGGTACCTATTTATCTACTTGCACTTTGACGTGCTTTCGAACTGCTAGGTTGGCAGGAGCAGGGGGCCAAGCAACGGGAGCTCACCCCGTCGCGGGGATTCGAACCGCCGACCTTCTGATTGGCAAGCCCTAGGCTCTGTGGTTTAAGCCACAGCACCACCTGCGTCCCTCTGCTTAGGCAGTAATCAGGCTCTATTTTCACATTGTTGTGACATGACAATAAAGGTATAAACAGGAACCGGCACTTCATATTTTACCTCTAACTTTACTTTATTTTTTAAACCCACTGTCCTGTTAAAATACTAAATATAGTTTTCATGTTCTGCCAAATTAAGTGAAAGCAGCAGTTGGATAAATGCTTAACTTTTTTAAAAAGCGGTGTTAGTTGTGATCATAAGTGCAGTGCAATTTACTGCGGCACAGGTTTTGTGTTACCTAGATTTCTGAAGTGTTCCACGGGTGTAATTTAACTAAAAAAGAAATCAGGGCAAGGTTTTGCAATAAACTTTGTTGAAAGCTCTATTTTTCACACTTGCTAAATATCTGGGTAACTACACAAATATCCAAGGAACCAACCATATTTTATTGGGGGGGGGGGAGGAACAGATGCTTAGAACCAGCAAGAGTGTCAGACTAGGATTCCATGCAATGATGGGCCAGTCTCTTATCTCTATGTCTAACCTCCTTCACAGGGTGGTAGTCAGGAAAATTGGGGGGGTGGCATGTATTTAAGGTCCTTGAAGGGAAATAAATAAATAGGTAAGTAAAACTTTTGATTTGAGAGCTTCTAAATCAGTCTTGAAGTGTAGAGAGGAGGGCAGAATAAATCTTCTGTTTTAACAGCAAATATAAAATCTAAACTTGCACTAGAGGTACGTAGAACAGGAAAATGTACCTTATTCTTTTTAGAAGCCAAAGCAGGAACGTGTGCATGCGGTGCTTCATGCAAGACGTAAAGGTAAAGGGACCCCTGACCATTAGGTCCAGTTGTGGCTGACTCTGGCCGATCTCACTTTATTGGCCAAGGGAGCCGGCGTACAGCTTCCAGGTCATGTGGCCAGCATGACTAAGCTGCTTCTGGCGAAACCAGAGCAGCGCACGGAAATGCCGTTTACCTTCCCGCCAGAATGTTACCTATTTACTTGCACTGCGTGCTTTCAACTGCTAGGTTTCAGGAGCAGGGAGCGAGCACCGGGAGCTGACCCTGTCGCGGGGATTCGAACCGCAAACCTTCTGATTGGCAAGTCCTAGGCTCTGTGGTTTAACCCATAGCGCCACCCGTGTCCCTTCAGACCAAAAGTAGAACTGCACAAAATTGTTCAGGTACAAAGTACTATAGGATTGCCTGAACTAATTGTGTGTGCTTCTTTCAGACTTCATCCTGTGAAACCAATGCATACTACAACAAGCAAATCATCTGCAAAAAACCAGAGCATAACATCAAAGATCTTGGATAACCAAAATGAAGCCGACATAAAGGTAATTTAAGACATACTATATTTTAAAACCTAATTGGGTGGTCTGTGCCCTGAGTTAGGAAGCTTGTAAATTTATTGGCGGGATCAGACAAACTGCAAAGGGGTATAGTCGTTTGGAGACAGAAATGTGTTCATGTTTTCTAGGTGTACGATTCCCCCTGCCCCTGCTATCCTACCCATCTGGGCAATTTTCTGAGCCTTTTACTTACACAAGTTTAGATTTGTGAGTGGGTATGAATTCCCCAAGCTCAAAACTTGCTATCTTCACCAAAGGACTTTGGCCTGAAAGGGATTTTTGTTTTCAGATAAGCAAGGTTTAGTGATTTAGTGCCTCCAACTAATATTGCAAATGATCTGTTTGGTGTTTGAGCACAGAACCTGAATTATTATCACTTAACTGAAACAACCACTACTGCTGCTGCTTTGTATTTATTTAGTACTTTTCGCATATTATGAGGAGGGTCTTATCTTCCCTTTTCCATGTTGATTACTGGGAAGAAATAGTTGAAGGCAGGTGTACAGAAACCTTGTGTGCACATTTGTCTGCATGCCATAAAAGTACTTACTGGCAAATCCTGAAATTCTAGTTTTTTGTGAATCTTCAGTAGCTTTTAAGATGCTTTGACATATGACCTCTTTGCTCTGACATCACTCCTGGGATTCCCCGGTAATCCCTGAAACCAAAGGTTTCTATACCTTCCTTCTGATCCTTTGACGCCATCCTTGCAACAGTGCTGGATATCAAAATGACTTTAACCTGTTCATTCTTCCTTCCTAAAGAAATATGATCCTTCAGATCCCGCCTACGCTTATGGCCAGCTGACACACAGCGAGCTGATCCAGCTGGTCTTGAAGCAGAAAGATGTGATTGCAAAGCGAGATCAGCAGGTGCGGGAGCTGGAAGACTACATTGATAACTTGCTTGTCAGAGTGATGGAGGAAACCCCGAACATTCTTCGAGCTCAAGCTCATGTGAATAAGAAAGCTGGAAAGATGTGAAGGAACCAGTTTCACCTAATCAGTGGCTTTCTTACTCAAACTTTGGAAGTAGTGAATGTGGAAAAGCTGCTTGTACCGAAACAGATTATTATTTACTTGTGTTAGGATAGAGTTGACTTACCTTGGAGACTGCCTTACATAATCTACAAAGTCAATAGTGTTAAAAAAACACCTTTTACCTTTTAGTACACTGTACATGTTTTGCTGCTCCGCAGGTGAAAGGCCTGAAATTATGGGACTGTGGAAGGAGTTGTGAGCCAGATTTTATCTGTGAATAAGCTCCAAGGGGCACATTTTTAAGGGTTTAGTCGAAAATTAACACTTCTCCGTAGTTTTTCAACTTCTGATTTCTTGACTCTTTTAGGATATTAAGTTTTAGTGCAATATAAGCAATCATATTTACATTAGATATACTGGATGAATAAATATTTATGAAGTACCTTGTTTGGATTTGAGTTCCTGGGAAATAAGCACTTCCACCTGAAAGCTGGTTGCCTCTCTGCATACAAGCAGCCCAGTCCATTAGGAATTTCTGTTTTTCTAGCTCCACTGAATCAGTAATTATTAAGAAAACAGCTCATTCATTTGGGTGGGGCTTAAGCTGTGCAGGTTTCCTGCCAATTGTGCAAAATTGCCTGCATTTGCCTTTGGGAAGTGAGGAAGATCCATAGTTAAGAAATAAAAAGTGATGGTGGTTGTGCGAGCAAACCCTGCTGGAGTGCCGTGATACCACTATCAAAATGAAATGTCATTTGAGTAAGAGGAGGTTAGCTTCTAAGCACTAAACTGACTTCCGTGTCTTATGGTGGTCAGTACAGGACGTATTAAACTTTTGAAAGCAATACTGATTTAAACTAATTGCCAGAAGCGGCAGTCTGGCTGGCTTGCTTCATTGCAGCTGGTTGCTTTAAGTACAGTTAGACGAGAGGGGCATTCCCCCTGCATTTCCTCATAGGTGTTAAAATGCTCAAACCTGTGGGTTTTCAGTAGCTGACTTTGGAGGTACACATTAATCCCTCGTCATTGAAATTTTTACTTTTAATATGTTTGTTCCATAGAAGCATCTTTCTTCTTATTTCCCAGATTTGATTACTTTTCTTTCATTCTTAACTTTACCTTTGAATTGCTGATCTTTCCCTTTTGTCTTTGGGTATGTTACCCCTCTGTTCAGAAGTCTGCTTAGATCTTTATTTTTGAATACAGGAAAAGCGTCTGAGTATATCGAATCAAAGAGACTGAACAAATTGCTCTGATTCAATAATCCCAGGTGTCTTTCCATTTGTGAATACTTTCGATTGTAAAAGTTTCATTTTTGACCAGTTCCTCAACATGTTCATAAAATTTTTCAGAAGTTCTTTTTTTATTATTATGAAAGGGTTGAAATGCAGATAAAAACACATTTCTACTGTCAGCTAAAGTAGCTTCCATCAGTTTTCCAAGGTTTTTTGTAATACTTCTTTCCACATCTTTTCTGTTTCAGAAATTCCTGATTGGAGAATGTTGATCTTATCTTGTTTATGCCCAGTTTCTTTATTATATGTTTCGTTCCTTTGCAGTTCCAAATGTCTCTGCTCTACCTTTGAGCAGCTTTTGAATGTATTGCCTTGTAGCTCAAACCAACTAGGAGGAATAAGTAGGGCAGGCATAGGGAATCTGACCCTCCCAATGTGCTTGGACTCGACTCCCATCCTCCTCACGGATGGCCATTGGGAGCCCAGAGGTATCTGGATGACCACATGTTTCTCAACCCTATAAGAGAGGCTTAGCACAAAGCTGTATGTGTGCAATGTCTCGCTGTGCCTGTTTTGGTTCCAGTTTCTCTATCTGTATGAACAGTTTCTGAAGTCAGACGACACTTTCCTCAGTTACAAAAGATTCTGTTTATGCTGCTCCATAAATTGCTGGAAGATGCGAACAGTCAGAATTACTTCAATATGATTTCTGCTGCAGACTAAAACAACTGGAGACTTTTTCTGATTTCATTTTTTATGGATTTTAGTCCTGGGTTGAAGATTGAATTCTTAATTTCAGTATCTCCATCTGCCCCTTAATTTTTAAAGGGTAACTTTACATCGTGGTCCCTTACTCTGGATGGGGCACTAGCCCAGTATATGAGTTTAAAGTTTCCAAAGGATTAACTTTTGTAGGTTTCCTAATAAAACAATACATCCACCATCACTAGGCATTTGGGGTGAAATCCATATTGACCATTGTATGGGAAATTGAACTATTTGAAGATAGCAACTATAAGGCAGAGCATGGCTTTTTGCAAGCTGAAGCTTGTATATGCACTTTTGGCTTCCAGTCAGATCAACTGTGATTAAAAAAGTATATTGTTGAAAATCTGAGCTACAAATGCAGGCAGCCAAACAGCAATCAAAGTGATGTCTGAAGACGTGGACAGATTAATTTTCATGCTTTTGACTGTAGCCATTCTTCATTTTCTGCCTATGCACTTTCAAGAGGGATGAGCTTGGCACTGAATATCTCTTCATCCCTCCCTTTGTATTCAGTCACAACACTGGATTATAAACTTCTCAGGTAATCAAACAGGGGTTGATTCTAAGCAAGTCATACTTGGGAGTAGACCTCTTGTAATCAATGACTAAGGACTCTTGATTGTTGTGGGCCTGCTCTTAGTATGACATCATTAGATATCACCCATGGATCTTGACGTTTCCTGAATGGTGCATTCTTAATTGCTCTTGATACTGTGCAATCTCATTTGCAAACACCAAAGAATAGAAACAGCTAACTACACACTACATGGAGTGTGGTGCTTGTTGAATAGATTTGTCGATCATCTTGTATAGTGCTAATTCTCTTGATGAAATCCTCTGGCTGATGCTGTCACCTTGCCTCAACTAGGTCAATGATTACAGGTGATTGAAAGGGGAGGAACTGTTGTCTACCATATCTAAAATCTAACTTCTTGTGTGTAAAACCAGCATTTAGATGCTTGGGCATCTTTTTAAAGCTAGTATATCTCATTTAAATGAACCAAATTGCTTTTTAAAAACTTTATTTTAAGAGGCTTAATGTCTCTTTGCTCCTGCTGGAGCCATAAGCACACAGGATCATACTTTTGGGAACAAGTATTTTATTGAAATACAGTTTTACTGTGTACTAGAAAATGTTTATTCCTGATGGTTATATGGTCCCAAAGTACAGTGGACATTTGTGTTTAATACATATTCAGTAGGAATGGATCTAGTAAGAAATAGTGTTGACCGTTTTAATAGAAATAGTACAGGACCAGCTTCCAGCAGATTGTGACAATCTTCTAGTTTATAACCTGACCTAAAATTTCCAGGGACCACAGGGCTGTAGCTGGCAACACAATGTGCCACATGCAAGAGGGAGTATTCTCACTGGGCCCAAATCAGCTGACCATTCTTCATATAAAGGTCTGCTCAGTTGTATACATTTTGATGAGATTTGGGCAATACACAGAAAGGATACCTTGCAATCTGTGCCTTCTAATGGGTATCTGTGACTTACGCAATCCTGACATCGAAATGCTGAATGTTGTGAAAAGTGTGGTACACTGTGAGGGATATTTCCCCTTGTGCAAACATTTGCTCAGTGCTTAATGTTGAAGGATCTGAATGTATATTTATATTCTGCCTTGTTACTCTTGGTACTTAATCCCATTGGGTTTTTGTTTTTTTTACGAAGACCTTCATCCTTGTGAAATGTTAAAAATAAAGTTATTTAAACTTGTGAGAACACTTGTGTTTCTTTGCGTATCTTCACAACCTTTAAGTGAAGAATGCTGTATGTATAATTCACATTATTGCACGCTATATCAGAATGGTTCCTAGGTCCATACTGATAGAAACGATTCTCTGCTGTACGAGGACTGGATTTCATCATGGTAATTCCAAAGTGTGAAAGAAAAAGGGCTTCATATGCAACTGGAGCTTCTATTGTGAGAGCTGTTTGTACATGAAGCCTTACGGGTTATAAGAAGCAGACATTCCTCAATGATCCTAGAATTGTTAGGCTTAGGAAGAACCTGAAAAGAACCTTAGATTACTCCAACATTCTTACAGTCTCTGTATGCTATCACCTTTTCTACAAGCTCCTGAAAAAGGTAAGAAACTAAGGAAAGTGTCAGTGTTTTCTCTGTGCCCTGTTATAGGAATTTAGTTGCCAGCAAGTGGAAGTGCTAGGCAAAGACAGCAGGCAGGTGGAAATATCAAAAGATTTAAAACTGGCTCACCAGATTAATTTAGGTTTGGGTTTAGATAGTGTAGTTTTAATTACCACTGAAGATTGTGCAAGTTTATAGAGAGAGAGGCTTGCAGCAAAGATTTTGGCTGGTAAATTCCAGTATTACTGTGTTCCTATCCTGCTTGTGTTCTCGAAGCTACCAGCATGAGTTTGACTAAACTGCGGGAGGCAGTGGAAGACAGAAGTGCCTGGCGTACTCTGGTCCAGGGGGTCACGAAGAGTCGGACACGACTAAACAACAACAACAATCCTGCCTGTGGGTTTCCCATAGGCATCTGGTAGGCCGCTATGAGAACAGATGCTGGATTAAATGGGCCTTTAGTCTGATCCAGGACTACTTCTTATGTTCTTACATAGAAGCTTCCTCTCCCCTTCTGCCTCCTAGCTAACCAGTCAGTGAGCACTGGGAGAATCTTTGCAAGTGCTCCCTTAGCAAAATAGAAAGCTGCCTTAAACAGATCATTGATCCATCTAGCTTAGAAGTCTATGCCAACTGAGAGAAGCTCTCCAGGGGTTCAAGAAAGGGGCATTCACAGCCTTATTTGAACCTTCTGCAGGCAAAACGTGTTCAACCATTGAACAGTAGCTCTTTGCCTTCTCTCGTGTCTTCCACTCTGCAGTCTCTTCCTACCATCTCCCCATCTGTCTCTCTGGCATGCCTTTCTTCTATTAAATTTCTGTACCACCTTTTTCATAACTACTGCCTTTTTCCTTCCCCTGACCCACCCCAGTGCCCCTGTTGTTTGATGACAAGGCTTCACATCCAAAGTGTACAGCGTGCAGCTGTTGTGGAAATTAAATGGGAAATTAAATAGGATTATGAGAAAATGTGAACCCCATAAGTGTGCCCTTGTAAATGTTTTGAGTGAAGACTCAAAAGGCGTTCATTTAAATCTAGAGAGCAAATTCTAAAATCATTTTTGAAGCCCACTCCAGAATATGGAGCAGGGGCTAAGGTCAGGCTCCCTCTTCCTGCAAGGAAGTAATGGGACACAAAAATACCCATAATAATCCAGCAAGATGTGTTTTTGTTTTGTTTTTTTGCGGGGGGCGGGGCGATGGCTGTTTGCAGAAGAAATCTTTTCAACTACTCAACTTCCACAATTTGAGGCAGCTTTGGCTCCAAAATGCTTCCACGAAACCTAGATCAGGTTGATTAATGTAGCTCATTGCAGCTTAAGAAGCACATAGCTTGTGAAGTCCTGTAACAATTGAGCTTTGGCACCACTCACTTCCCTGTGAAGTAGGAATGTGCCGGAACCAATTTGGATCATGACTGTGATTCAGACTTAATAGATCAGGAAAAGACGGAATCACCTGATGCAGCAGCACTGAGATGGAAAGGCAGGGGAAGCATGGTATGTTAAATGCTTCAAACGAGATCTCAGCTATGATCCGAATGCCCAAATTGCTCGTTTCCAAGGGCCAATAGAGGCATCTGTGACTCAAACCTGTGTGTATTAGAATACTGCCAGTCTGCTACGGAGCATCCTTAATTCACAGAGTCTAGATTGGGGTGGGGGACCTTCCGAATGTTGTTGGTATGTTTACTCCCATCCGCCACCGTGGTGAATGGTCAGGGATGGTGGGAGTCCTACTCCAACACGTGGAGGGCCATCTCTGGTCTAGAACCCACACTAGTTTCATATTTTGAAGGAAATACATTCACACCCTAGAATGAAGTCATGATGTCAATGATCACATGGTGGCTTCATTCCAATTATTTTCCAGCCTGTCATCTACTATACCTGCGGGAATACCAGGTTTAGGACATCTCTTTAATGATTCAGAAACCAAGTGCTTTGTGCTGATGACATAATTATATAATAACTGTCAACATGGTCTCCACCCCTGTCAAAATAGCATGCTTTGAACCAGCTCACCCTTCACTGAGCTATAACTACAAGCTATTATGTCTCAGAGTCTTATTAATATCTCTTGGGCACAGCCCTGCAACAGCAGCTATTGCTTTCTTAAGCATGCTGTAGGCTTGCCTGCTTTGCTTCGTTCTGAACTAAAATACTAAAAGCCCGCTAGAGACTGGACGTGGAACATAACACAAACTATTTTATTTTATTTTTCAGGGGAAGGCAGGGGAAGCATGGTATGTTAAATGATTCAAATGAGATCTCAGCTATGATCCGAATGCCCAAATTGCTCGTTTCCAAGGGCCAAAGAAGCAGCTCCTCTCCCTCCCTGCCAGCCAGGGAGGCTCCTCAACTGCATTGCTCGGCTGCGTTGCTCACCAGTAAGGAGTCTGAGAACGACTGGCGGGTGGAGCTTGCATGCCTTGTGCTGATCAAATTGGCCGCATTGACTGGGGACTCGCCTTTGCTTCAGCGCTTCCCAGCAGAGAGGTGACAGTGTGGTTTTCCTTGCTGCCGTATCCCTTTGCTGGGTTGATGCGCTGTGCGAACCACCGCTTGAGGCTTCGTTTGGCTGCTGGCTGGGCTTTCTACCTTTGGGCCTTTGGCTCGGAGGGTCTCTACCCTGTGTGTGTGTGTGAGAGAGAGAGAGGGAGAGGGAGAGAGTGAATGTGTCACTTAAGCTGATAGTAGGAATGCTGTAGCTTCACACACTTACCTTCACACAATGTGTAATTGACTTAGGGAATTTTTTTACCGCAGGATGTCAGTACTTTAGATTTACAAGGGGACCTGAGAGATGAATGGGAGATACGGTTTGTCAGTATTAATGGGACAGCTAAATAGAAACTTAACCCCAAAAGTTAGGACCAAGATTCAAATCCTGACTGGGTAACTTTGCTCACTAGTAACATTGAACCATGAGGACGAGATGGTTGGATAGTGTTCTCGAAGCTACCAGCATGAGTTTGACCAAACTGTGGGAGGCAGTGGAAGACAGGAGTGCCTGGGACAGGCGAGGCTGCTGATCCCTTATTTTCAAATCTGAAAGTTGACAGCTATGCTGGGAATATGTCATATTGATTCGTTTCAATGGGCCTACTCTCAGTAGGTCTAATGTTGGATACAACACATTGCTTTTTTGCTGTTTATCAGAAGAGGCCAGGACTGGTGCAAAACTGTCTCTCCACCTATAACCTCAAAAAATCTTGTCCCTTGTCCCCCTGCCCTCCAAAATTTCAAGCATTGCTTAAATGAGAAGGTTTTTGAATTTGTTGTATTCTGAATGCCCATCACTGCTGCACTCTCATAGAAGCTGTGTGTAGCAGCATCTTAGAGCTTCAGCTGTATTTTGGAATTTTGGGGTCCCCTGCTGCAACAAAAATCAGATTTAAGCTGGTTAACACCTTTGTTCAATGGGCAAATTTATAGAAACGTGATGTAGCAACTTTTAGGGAGAGCACCAAGTGTAAAGTACGGGCGCCATCTGCTGGTTTGAGTTTTGCTCATCCATAATTTGTTGATAATAACGTAGCATTAAATTCCCTTGTGTGCAGTGCATGGCTTATAACTGTATATGGTGTGTGCATATGTAAGTTTCTATAATCCTCCATTCCTTCCTATGAGGGTTGCTGAAGGTGGAGGGCTTGTGCAAGTTAGGCTAGGAATGGAAGAGAGTGTCTTGTAATACTTCTCCTGGAGATGCCACAGGTCCCATAGCACAGTTGTGCAATTGCAACCACACAGCATATTATCAAAGTGCTAAACGATTGGTCTGATTGTTCTATCCAGAATATGACAGTACTTCGACATAGCACTCTTGAAACACCCTAAAAGAATAGGGCAGAAACTTGCTCTCTGCTTCCCTAGAGGGCAAGACTAGATTTAAGTCACAGAAAGGTAGATTTTGGTTGAATCCAGATTAAGGCTACAACCTGAGTCAACATGGCTAGATTTGCAGAGTATGTCTCCAGTCCTAAGTGTTGATATTAATATTTCCCCCTATTACATAAGGAGCTGGTGTCTCCCCCACTCAAAAATCTACAAGTATTCCAAGGGGAATTTATTTTAAATGAAAGATCAGGAAAGATAGGGTGAAAATGAGACAAAGGGAGGCTGCTAATAGACGATTTACTACAAAGATGGAAAAGGAAGTCTTCAGCTTTCCTGGTGTTGTTGGTTTTTTAAACTTTTTTATTAAATTCCAAGAGTAAACTCCGAGAAAAGAAGCTTAAAAGGCTGGAACTTCAGCTCATTCCCGTTGATCTGACAACCCCTCAGTCCAGACACAAATGCTCCGCCTCGCCCCATCTCTAACGCCCTCGAGCTGAGCGGCTCCGGCGGAACCTTTGTCCTGCGCTCCCTTGTTTCTTTCCGGAGGCCGCTTAGCGTTGGAGCGCGTCTGGGCCCGATTGCCCCGTTGCCATGGGGATTGCCCGGAAGGAGCTTGGGCCCTCTTGAAAAAGCTCCCCCGGCTTCTTCCGGTGTTGCGAAAGCGGCGGCGAGAAGGTAAGTCAGCCCCGGTAAAGGGGGAAAGAGGCTCCTGGGTGGCTGTCTAGGAGCCAGGCCGGGTTTTTTTTGGGGGGGGATGTGGGATTTTTTTGGAGGGCATGCAACCCGCGAGTGGCGTGGGCAGAAACCCCCTTCACCTGCCGCTGATTCTGTGAGCACCGCCAGCAATCCTCCTCCTCCTCTCCGTTGTTATAAGAATTCTAAGGCCTCAAATATAGACTAAATATTCATAAATGCACACATATCTATATATCTAAACCATGTACGGGAGAGCAATCCTGAAGCCATTTTGACTCTCAGTGACCTCAAATACTCATCTGCAGGGAGGGAGGCAAATAGGGAAAGCCTCCCCATTGCCTTTTCGCTTGCAAATCCTGTCTTAAGGGTGTATTTGTGTATGAATAGGGTGAGCCTGTGACCTGGATTCAGGAACTAAGAATGGCCAGGCTGCCCAGCTAATGCAATCAACGACCATTATCAGGTATCCTGGTAGGCAGGGTTTCTGCTGTAGACTGCCTCCTATGATATATGTATGATGATTTTGGGGTGGTCTTTGGCTTAGGGGGTTGGGCAATGTCAAAAGTCTTTAAAGGTTCCTGCACACTTTTGTTGAGGGTCTCTCCCTCCTTGGAAGGAGGGGAGGGGACTCTGTTGCAACAGAAAAATAAACATCTGCCTCGTTTTCCACTGGATTCTGCCTCCATCCATTCTTCTCTGGCCGATCATGAATTTAGGGGACTCAGAGTCCCATGGGGAGTTGGGAAGCAAAAGCCAAACCCCAATTTTTACATCACCATTATCAAAATCACACAAGTCAGTTCCCCCCTCTTTTTTCTGTGTTCCCTAACCAGCCGGCAGTTCACATCTCTTCCCCTTCCCCGCACTCCAGGTTGCCCTGGCATTATTCACTTGCCTTTAGGAGCCTCTGGAGAAACAAAGGAGGAGCTTTCCACAACAACTTTGTCTCCGTGCCCTTTTTTAAAAATTAAGAAGCACTTGTTTAGCGAATGGCTGTGGGGCAAGTCTTGCCAGGCCACCAGAAAAGTGTTCGTGGTGCTAGGTGTTTTCTTAGCACCAAACTCTAATGGAAATGCTGGTGGTGCTTCAAATGCGAGAGGAAAAACCTCAAGCCCCACATCCTGGCTCCCTCCAGTTTTGGGCAAACTGTGACACCCCACCCCCACCAACAGCCTTTAAATACAGTAGTTTCCAATGACAAGACAGGATCAGGCCCTATGTAATTTGAGCTGAGTACTTTGAGAGCGTTTCCTTCCCCTCCTAATCAAAGCTGCATTCTGCATATCAGAACTGAAGACAGAGCCCCCACAAATCTCTGGTAGTCTTTGTAGCTCTTTTCAGAAATGTAACGCTGTACTGTAGAATCCTCAGACTGATTTTATGATGATACTTTTCAAATGTGAGAGTATGGTAGGCCTTCAAGCTAGGAGACACCTTGATTTTGAGGGAAATAAAAAGACTTTGTTTTTCTGTCTTCTCCATACTTTTTGTCCTATTATGTCTTCTAACATCCCGGCAGTGACTTTGGTTTTTGGATAGAATTTGATATACTTTAATACTTAGTAAATGATAAAAAATCAACAATTCTGTGGGTAATTCCAACTGGTTAGGTTGATACTATTCTTTGAACCGCCCTGAAAGCCCTGGGTATAGGATGGTATATAAACTCAATTAATAATATAATAGTAGTAGCAGTAGTAGTAGTAGTAGTAATAAAGGTAAAGGGACCCCTGACCATTAGGTCCAGTCGTGAGCGACTCTGGGGTTGCGGTGCTCATCTCGCTTTATTGGCCGAGGGAGCCAGCATACAGCTTCCGTGTCATGTGGCCAGCATGACCAAGTCGCCTCTGGCGAACCAGAGCAGCACACGGAAACGCCATTTACCTTCCCGCTGGAGCGGTACCTATTTATCTACTTGCACTTTGACGTGCTTTCAAACTGCTAGGTGGGCAGGAGCAGGGACTGAGCAACGGGAGCTCACCCCATCACGGGGATTCGAACCGCCGACCTTCTGATCAGCAGGTCCTAGGCTATGTGGCTTAACCCACAGCGCCATCCGCGTCCCAGTAGTAGTAATACAACCAACTAATTTCACAGAGTTGTTGTGAGAATAAAAATTGGGTGGCGAGAGAACCATTATACCACCTTGAGCTCTTCAAAGGACAGGTGGGATATACGGTAAATGTAATACATGGAAGTAATTAAATAATACCAAAATATCAGTGACCAACTGTGGACCTGATTTATGCTTTCAGGCTGCTAAGATGTCGAGCCAAAAGAAGTGTCCAGACTGTGGCTCCTTGGAAATTGTAGAGGACTCTCATTATGCTCAGAACCAGCTGGTGTGCGCAGACTGTGGCTTCATTCTGACTGAAGGGCTTCTCACAACCACATATGCTGATGAAGAACATTTACAAGGTGAGGCTAAGAGTAGCAAAATAGCTCAAAACTCTTTGTATCTTACAAAGACATAGGATTTGAGATACGATTTGCAAGCAGTTCTCAAATATAGACAGGCCCTACACCATTCAACAGTTTAAAAATGGGTGCATGTTTGAGAGCTTGGACCAAAGTTTGGCTGATATCTGTGTTTTTATCTCATAGAAGTCACATATTCACGGAGTACTGGTCAGAATGAGCAAACTAGCCGTTGTGTACAGCGAGGTAAGTATTCTGCATTACTCTTTTGATGCTTTGTGGAAATTAATGTGCCTGTCATCCACAAGAGCTGCATTGTTTCACTTTCTAAAAGCCAAGAGAAATTTGCATTTTTAAAACAGTCTTACCTATTTGCTGTGGGACCAACATCAAAACAACCTATTTTAGAGTTTTAGAGGTACATAGAGTCCAGAGTTCAGTATGATTGCCTGATCAAATCCCACCTGAATCATTGACAGACTGGTTAACCATGGACCAGTCTGTTTCCATTACCATTAAATGGCCATTATAATTGTGTGTACAGCTGCAAAAAATAAAAATCAGTACATAACTAAAAGCCAAATTAAAATCAAATATGAAGTTGAAACAGCAATACTAACAGCCATTCTCAGTTAGAGCCCCCAAAGACTTTCATTTAAAAAAGTTCTCCGTAATATCCAAAAAAAAGGCAAAGTAGGCTTGGTTTGGACACTCCAGTTACACTACCACAATTGAAAATATGTTATCCATGATTGCCACCCATCTAACCTCTGAAAGTGGGAGCATGTGAAACAGAGCCTCCACAGATTATCTTAGTATATGGGCAGCTTCATACAGGCAAAGAACTACCCTGCGGTTAGATTTGTCACTGATAAATGTGTATGTGGAAACATTTCTTAAGTACTGCTGTGGTATTTCCCCCCACAGGAGTCAAACGTGTTCGGGATCTCTGCAAAGTTCTGCGCCTTCCTTCTCTGTTTGAAGACACAGCCGTGTCCTATTACCAGCAGGCAATCAAACGTCCCGGCTTCAGTTTAGTCATCTTGGAGAAGAAGGAGATGCTTGTGGGCTGTTGCGTCTTTGTGACCTGCCGCCAGCACAACTGGCCCCTGACCATGGGCACAGTCTGCCTGCTGCTCTATGGAGACAAGGAGTTGTTTGCAAAGACCTATCTACGCTTCCTGAAGGAACTGGCACTGGATGTGCCTACTCTCAGCTTGATGGATATGGTGAAAACCCACCTCAACAGGTATGTCGAAGTTCTTGTGCCCTTTCCTTGACAATACTTCTCATAGTTGGTGTGCAGTTTCCATCATTCATAGACTGAATTTACAAGTATCATACGGACTGTGTGGTATATTGATTGGAAGGCCGATGAAACAGCAAGCTTCTTAAAGTTCAGCAGGGATGGATGTGGTCAGTGCTTGGATGTAGGAACCCTGTGTGTGCTGTGTGCTTCCATCATGGAAGAAATGATGTTTTCATATGTGCATGTATACTCCAACTCCCTGATTTCTGAGATTTCATCTGAGGCACTTCAGGCAGGTCCAGGCTTTTCTCTTTAGCCACAGGGGCAGCAAACTTCCTTTTTTAAACAAATAATTCTCAGAATTGTGAATTCTGCTCCTGCTCCCAATCCCATAATTGCTTGGAAATCCTTCCTATTATTATTAAGGGCAAGAAGCCAACAAACAGAATTTTGCTGAGCACAAGTTAGGAAGAGTGTAAATTCAGCCCTGTCCATATAGTGCTGGTTAATGGAAGATGCTTGCCTTTTTGATTCAAGCTGCTCAGCTTGCCTTTTTGGTGTCCTTGGAAAATGCAGGGCCTTCTGCCCTTTGCCCTTTGCCAGAATGCTTTGTTTTGCTCATGTCCCTCTTTCACCTATTTGTCTTCTCCATCCTGCCACATCTCCCAACCCAAGGCAGTCTATCTAAATGGCTTGTTTGATTCTCATCTTTCCAGCTTCAAGATTTTCCAGAATTCACCCAGCGTCCCGACTAAGTTTGTGGAAGAAAAGAAGCAGCTGGTGGCAAGGACTGTCCAGATGGTGGAACTTGCCAGCGACACGTGGCTGGTGACAGGCCGGCACCCCATCCCCATAGTGACAGCAGCAGCCTTCCTGGCTTGGCAGTCTCTCCGGCCTGTCGATCGCCTCACTTGCACCCTTTCCCAGTTCTGTAAGCTTGCTGGTATGGAGGCTCCCCGGCCAGCCCACCAGAGACTGAAGGAGCTGCATAACATCCTCCTGCAAATGGCTTCTCAGCTGGGCTGGTTGCGAGTGCTGAAAGTGGACCGTCGGAGCGTGGCAAAGTACATCGGTGACTTTCTGCGGCACCGCCATGTGCTTCTACAGGCTGCCTTCCGCATCGTGGATACTATGGAAGACCGTGACCTAGAAGACTCAGCGGCTGCGCCACTGCAGCTAATCGATGAGAGCGCTGCAACAGTAGAAGAGGCCTCCCTTTCAGGAGAGAAGCAGAAGTTCAGCAAGCGGAAACCTTTGCTCCCACCCTGCATCTTGAACCCCGCAAAGAGGCTACGAACTCCTCAGCTAAGCCTTGAAGATTCTGCTATCACTGGGGATGAGCCCATTTTAGACAGTGAGATAGAGCAGTATATCCGGACTCCAGAAGAAAAGGAGATGTTTAGCAAGGCTCAAGCGTGCCTGTGACCTCGAAGCTGCAAGTGATTCAGACAGACTTGCAAGCAATAGCCTTCTGATACATATTTTGCTCTAGGATGCTTAGTTTGGTAAGAATAAAGTATACACTTCCAAAGTTAATGCTAAATACATTGCTTCTGGTAAATGAGCCATCATAACCACTAGAGGATTGTGAAAATTTGTGTCCTGGGCTTTTTAGACTTGTCTACCTATGTACTGCCTGAAGCAAAGGGATTCATTGGTTGCCAGATGCGATTCCCCCCCCCCCCAGCTCTCCATCCCACTAAGAATCTCCCACATCCTTCAGGCATGGCTCCTTCCACCCTACTGTGATAATAATTAAAGACAGGTTTGGGTGGCCTGGATAACTTTGGTTACTGGTGGGGACCACTAGTAACCAGTTGGCGAGGTTGTGTGATTGTTTTCCTTCAACTCTGACAAGAGGTATAGGAAGTGGCCACATTGCAGTGGTTTGCATGCTGTTTAGGACAACTTTTGGTTTAAAGATTGGCGTATCTCTGGGTGAGAAGTAGTATCCACTCTTGAAGGTTTGGGTGGAGGCAGTCAGCCAGCCTGAGCAACAAATACCTCTTTGAGTTGGCGTTTGACTTGAATGAATGTTTGTCTGGTCTACTTATGGTCCTCATAGTTAGGCATGAGAGAGTGGAAGAGAAGTGTGAAAATCTAATTGTAAGTTGTTTCAGACATGCATGCTTTAAACCTAGATCCAGAAGAAAAAGTTGTGGCTTTGCAAGCATCTCTTTATAGTACATGGTATGGTGGTTCCTGAATATCATACCCGTGTCACAAGATAGGTGGTGAGTCAGTCACTCTGATTAATGGAGCTGCTTAGTTAATTTTTGTCCCTACATGCACATGGTGAGGAGAGAGCGAGCGGACGAGCGAGCAAGGGGCCTCGGTGGAGCTCCTGCTGCCAGGGGCAGTCTACCTGCTGGGGCGCGGGGCGCATGTGCGGAGGGAGGGAGGGGGCTGGTGGCAGGTGCTGCCCAGAGAGGCCTCCTAAATATGACCCGTTGCGTCTGATGTTCGCTCCTTCTTTATTTAGGGAGTCATAGCAGGACTTCTGAAGGAATGCGGATAAGGGTATGCTTTAACTTCAAAGGAGAGAGAGGAAATGCGCCAGTGTGTTGTGTCAATGTAGGATTAGCCGGGTTCAGTACTTTGTCCAGTTCCAGTTGCTGCATTTTAAGGAGGAGATAGACAAACTAGAGCAGGAATCTTTCTGGCTGTGGGGGGCCAAAAACTTCGACGTGTGGGTGGGGCAACCAGCAAGTAAATCACATTCTGCCATTGTGACATCAAAATGTTGGCAAGTGGGTTGTCTTGACTACCTGCCAACATAAATTGTGTAGGGTTCCAGGTTGGGGTTCCAGAGTGCAAGGGGCTTTGGCAGCTTTATGCCTTGTAAGCCTCCCTGCATTGCTTCTTTCCGTCTCTTATGTCAGAGATCAAAAGGAGCTTCACGGAATTGCTTTCAAAGCCCTTTGCAAGCCTTCAATGAGCTGCAGCTTGGACAGTAGGAGCGATGGTTGAATGGGATCCTACTTTAATGGCATCCCTTATTGGGCAGGTGAGCGTGGCTTCTCCAGATTGGCCTCATGGGCAAATGGGACTGGTGGGTCACGTTTGGTCTGTGAGCCGGAGGTTTTGCACCCCTGAACTACAGCATATTCCAAAGATGGTGAGGAGTCTGGAAACCAAGTCCTATGAGGAACAGTTGAAAAAGCTGGGCATGGTTATCTTGGAGAAGGAAAGGTTAAGAGGAGGCAGGAGAATAGTTCTCAAAGAACTGAAAGACTGTGATGCAGAAGGTGGAGCAGATTTGTTCTATGTTACTCCAGATGACAGATGTAAATGCAATGACTGAAAACATTTAAATAAGATGGTTTTGACTTTACGTTAGGAGAAACTTCTTAAGTGTATGAGTAGTTCAAAGGCAGATCAGACGGCCTTGGGAAGTGGTGGGATCTCCTCCTATGAAGGTTTGTAAGCTATGGCTAGATACCCGTTTGCTTAGGAAGCTGTGTATTTGCAAGATTCCTGCACTGAATCTGTTGGGCATTGGGCTAGATGACATCCAAGGTCCCTTACTACTCTATAGTTCTGTTTGAAGATGTTGACTTCCTGCTGACTAAATGGCATTTCCAGGTTCAGAGGCAATTTACCTATGTATGTCAGAGGCTCAAGGTCCACATGCCCAAACAGGTGTCAAACAGCATGCCGCATGAGAATTATTCATCTCAGCTGTTTATCTGACAGCAGCAAAAGCTAAGCTCTAAACAGGATGGATCATGGATTAAAAATGCCACTTTTAGTAAAGATTCCACCATTGTCCATAGAGTTTACTGGGAGACCACGGGCGAGTCACACTCAGTCTAATCAATCACAAGGGTTGTTGTGAGAATGAAATGGGATGGGGAAATGAGAACTATGTAGGTCACTCATACATAGTTATTTGAAGTAAGGGTGGGGCAAAAATCCAATAAGCAAACATTGCAAGCAGAGGCGGGATCAAACTTTTAAAAACAGTGTATTAAAACTTGAAATAAACAGCAGTATAATGTGCTACAGCATAATATAAAGAGTTGGTGTGGTGTAAAGGTTAGTGTCACACTAGGACCTAGGAGACCAGGGTTCAAGTGAAGCTCACTGACTGACCTTGGCTCTCAGTCTAACATAGGGTTGTTATGGGGATTAAATGAGGAGGGGTAGAATCACGTATGCCATCTTGAGCTCGTTGGAGAAGAAAACTTGTAAAGTATCCTGTTGATACCTTTCCTGAGCAGAGTCCTGCTGGATCACGGTAGTTGGCATACTTAATTTTATTCCATTGTTGTAAACTTCTCTAACAACCTACTTTTAGTTAAAGGGAAGAATAAACATCTATTAAATAAAATAATTTGTATCCAGCTTTGGATAGCGGTTATCTCAATGCATCCAGGAAACATGCAAGCAGGGTGTGGAACTGACAGTTCTTCCTCAGTTTGCTGCCTTGGCAACTGATATTCAGTGGTATTAATGCTTGTGAACATGGAAGTTCCATTAAGTTGTCAAGGCGAGTAGCTGATACGAATTTAGTTAATTCCTTTATAGAGCCTCCTAAACTAGGGTCCATCTCCCAATCATGAATCCCCTAAACGTTGGCATCTTTGTCTTCTCCTTAAATCTTGGTTTGCAAGAATTTCTTTTTCTAAGATGTGTGCTGCAACACATGCATTATTTTAAAACAAAATATGCTTGCTTCAGAACAGTTTGTTTTATATTTGTACAAATTATTCAGTAGGTTAATTGACTAAAACTCATGATCAGTTAAGTTTTCTTCAATAGGTTGATAGCTCTTGGGATTTCACACCTACCCAGTTATGCTTCACATTGTGCCATTTTATGTATAAGGTTTAAACCAGTGAGTAAGAATTAAAAAAAATCTGCTTAGCATTTATAGAGTTTAAATAGCCTTGTGTACATTTGAAGCACTTTATTAGTTTTACAGATGAAAATTGGGGCTTCAAGGTTTATGTCGGAATCTATCAATTAAGAGGTAGCTCACTAATCAACACCACACCCTTAACACGTGGACAGACAGTGCAAAGATGCAATTCAGACCAGTTAATATTTTTTCATCTGAAGGCAGGGAGATCTGAAATTTGGATGAAACTGTTGCCAGATCTCAAGACTGGATGCTTATTCGTAAAACAGAAAAACTTCCCTGTACTGAAAGAATTAGATGTCAATGAGATTATTTCTGACAGGCCTTTTCCCTGATGTGGTAGTACTGTGTGTGCTTTTTGTTTTTGTTTTTTAAGGGTAATCTTTTAGCCATGCAATAACTTCCTGTAGTTTGTCTAGAAATAGTTTCACCATGCTATCCGCTGTTTTAGGAAATTGGGCCAAATGATGAGCTTTCAAAATGTGAATATAGAAAATCGCTCACTTGTGTTCTAGTGCTTTTCCCTCCTCTAGTTCTTCTCTTTTGTTTCCTTTCCTGTTTTGATATGTATGCTTTTAAGGCATGCAATTTTCTGAAAATATTGTTGGAAAATTCCATATTTGGGGAGAAATTGCATGCTTTTATACATAAGCTGCTGTTTCTGTTCTAAAACTTTCCTGGTAATGACTTTCTCATTTTCTCTCTTTCTAGCTCTGTATCTTCTCCTGTATCCAGCTCCGTTCAAGACTGTTCGGCAGAATTTGTCTTGGTTCATGTGGTGCCTTTCAGGGAGTAAGAAGGTTAGTCACACTAAGATGGCATGCATCTTGGGTTTTAGTGCAGAAACAGTCTATTCTACAGAGTTCCTCTGAATGTTGATGCCTTTTATGCAGATATCTTCATGGCATAACCTTAAATGGACAAGGTCATGCTGTGGAGCTGTTATACCATAACTCATAAACTAGTAAGGCCTGCTGATGTTGCATGATACCAGAGCATAACAGCACAGATTAGGTGGAGCTGTTAAGCGATCATGGGACTGAGCTTAGTAGCAGAGCCTTTCCCGTCTCTTCCTGCAAAATTATATGAATATTTGGGGGAATCCATTGCCCTGAGCAATGGATAAATTTACAGTACAAAATCAACCCTTTCCTGGCATGGTTCTCATTCATCCTCTGGGGGGAGGCCCCAGAAAGCAATTCTGGAGAAACACTTGTTTTGTGAGGGTGCTTATAATTATTACATGATTGTAATCCCCTTTATGGAACCACACTTCCAAGGACTTAACTGAGAACCATGAAGCTCTAGACAAAGTCTGTAAATATGTGACACATGACACATTTTATCTGGATTTGAGGTCCTGTGACAGAAAAGATGAAATTGAAATTGCTGGCTAAATGCCACTAATATCAGTCTACAGACCTACCTGGCATTTTGCTTACATGGCGAACCTGACTCTGTTTAGCTTGAACTGAAAATTAACTACTTTATACGTAACACACCCTGAGACCTTGTGGGAAAAGGGTGGGTAGGAAATATTTAAGCCCCTGATGCTGAACTTTTGCTGTTCTTTATTTATACAGATGGTACAAGCGTCACTCCAAACCAGGAAAGAAGGAAAAAGAGAGAGGTGAGATTGAGGTGGATATCCAATTCATGAGGAGCAACATGACAGCCAGCATGTTTGATCTGTCCATGAAAGATAAGTCACGGACACCATTTGGCAAGCTGAAAGACAAGCTAAAGGGGAAACGAGGCAATGGATTGCCAGACACAGCTTCAGCTATTGTTCCTAGCATTAGTCACTCCCCGGCTGACAGCGAGGAAGAGCATAACATAACATCAAAGATCTTGGATAACCAAAATGAAGCCGATATAAAGGTATTTTAAGACATACTATATTTTAAAACCTAATTGGGTGGTCTGTGCCCTGAGTTAGGAAGCTTGTAAATTTATTGGCGGGATTAGACAAACTGCAAAGGGGTATAGTCGTTTGGAGACAGAAATGTGTTCAAGTTTTCTAGTTGTACGATTCCCCCTGCCCCTGCTATCCTACCCATCATGGGCAATTTCCTAGCCTTTTACTGACACAAGTTTAGATTTGTGAGTGGGTATGAATTCCCCAAGCTCAAAACTTGCTATCTTCACCAAAGGACTTTGGCCTGAAAGGGATTTTTGTTTTCAGATAAGCAAGGTTTAGTGATTTCGTGCCTCCAACTAATATTGCAAATGATCTGTTTGGTGTTTGAGCACAGAACCTGAATTATTATCACTTAACTGAAACAGCCACTATTGCTGCTGCTTTGTATTTATTTAGTACTTTTTGCATGTTATGAGGAGGGTCTTATCTTCCCTTTTCCATGTTTGATTACTGGGAAGAAATAGTTGAAGGCAGGTGTACAGAAACCTTGTATGCACATTTGTCTGCATGCCATAAAAGTACTTACTGGCAATTCCTGAAATTCTAGTTTTTTTGTGAATCTTCAGTAGCTTTTAAGATGCTTTGGCAGATGACCTCTTTGCTCTGACATCACTCCTGGGATTCCCCGGTAATCCCTGAAACCAAAGGTTTCTATACCTTCCTTCTGATCCTTTGACGCCATCCTTGCAACAGTGCTGGATATCAAAATGACTTTAACCTGTTCATTCTTCCTTCCTAAAGAAATATGATCCTTCAGATCCCGCCTACGCTTATGGCCAGCTGACACACAGCGAGCTGATCCAGCTGGTCTTGAAGCAGAAAGATGTGATTGCAAAGCGAGATCAGCAGGTGCGGGAGCTGGAAGACTACATTGATAACTTGCTTGTCCGAGTGATGGAGGAAACCCCGAACATTCTTGATTGTTGTGGGCCTGCTCTTAGTATGACATCATCAGATATCACCCATAGATTTTGACGTTTCCTGAATGGTGCACTGTTAATGGCTCTTGATACTGTACAATCTCATTTGCAAACACCAAAGAATAGGAACAGCTAAGTGGTTCCTGTAGTTTATTCCTCATTTGACATGGCAATATTTATGCAATGAGAGCCCTAAGTTTGGAGATTGGTAGAAAAATTAATACTGTCATGTTTGAATATAAGACTTGGACTGTGAGCTTGGACTCCATGTTCCTGTTGTCCTACATGGAGTGTGGTGCTTGTTGAATAGATTTGTCTATCTTCTTGCATAGTGCTAATTCTCTTGATGAAATCCTCCGGCTGATGCTGTCACCTTGCCTCAACTAGGTCAATGATTTCAGGTGATTGAAAGGGGAGGAACTCTTGTCTACCATATCTAAAATCTTCAGGGCCTGTGGTGTTTTCACATATCTGTGGCTCCATAATAGCTGGGGCATAAAGTCTGTAAGGGCAAACTTCTTGCATGTAAAACCAGGATTTAGATACTTGGGCATCTTTTTAAAGCTAGTATATCTCATTTAAATGAACCAAATTGCTTTTTAAAAACTTTATTTTAAGAGGCTTAATGCCTCTTTGCTCCTGCTGGAGCCATAAGCACACAGGCACATGCTTTTGGGAACAAGTATTTTATTGAAATATAGTTTTACTATGTACTAGAAAATGTTTATTCCTGATGGTTATATGGTCCCAAAGTACAGTGGACATTGTGTTTAGTACATATTCTGTAGGAATGGATCTAGTAAGAAATAGTGTTGACCGTTTTAATAGAAAATAGTACAGGACCAGCTTCCAGCAGATTGTGACAATCTTCTAGTTTATAACCTGACCTAAAATTTCCAGGGACCACAGGGCTGTAGCTGGCAACACAATGTGCCACATGCAAGAGGAGTATTCTCACTGGCCCAAATCAGCTGACCATTCTTCATATAAAGGTTCTGCTCAGTTGTATACATTTTGATGAGATTTGGGCAACACACAGCAAGGAATACCTTGCAATCAGTGCCTTCTAATTGGTACCTGTGACTTACGCAATCCTGACATCGAAATGCTGAATTTTGTGAAAAGTGTGGTACATTGTGAGGGATATTTCCCCTTGTGCAACATTTGCTCAGTCCTTAATGTTGAAGGATCTTGAATGTATATATTCTGCCTTGTTACTCTTGGTATTTAATCCCATTGGGTTTTTGGTTTTTTTTACAAAGACCTTCATCCTTGTGAAATGTTAAAAATAAAGTTATTTAAACTTGTGAGAACACCTTGTGTTTCTTTGCCTATCTTCACAACCTTTAAGTGAAAGAATGCTGTATGTATAATTCACATTATTGCACGCTATATCAGAATGGTTCCTAGGTCCATACTGATAGAAACGATTCTCTGCTGTACGAGGACTGGATTTCATCATGGTAATTCCAAAGTGTGAAAGAAAAAGGGCTTCATATGCAACTGGAACTTCTATTGTGAGAGCTGTTTGTACATGAAGCCTTACGGGTTATAAGAAGCAGGCATTCCTCACACCAGAGCCAGAGCTGCCCCATGCACTTCTTTTTTTTAAACCCCAAATCCAGGACTTTTGGTTTAAAATGTAAATCCCACCCCGCCCTGGATGGCCATGTAGGACCCCCAAAAGAGGACATATTCAATCCTAGCATAGATCCCTTGTACCTTAGACCTGATGTGATCAAATGTTTCGCCAATAAAGACCATAAACTTCCAATTGCTTGTCCTCATTGGGGCTAGGTGCGCTCAAGGTGCAGCATGATTCAAATGGTCCACTACATCAAACATCTATCTTCGCAGCATAATGTTTACCTTCCCTGAATGGCTTGGCAGATACTTCCATTGCCTGGTGAGGTGAGTAGGAATTGAACTGAAGAGACCTTTGCCCTGCTGTGGGGCAATTCCCATAATTGTGGCATCAAAACTAAGCAGGCTAGGGTAGCCCTGTGCATGCATTAGAGAGGACAATCCTCTATTTGAAGGGTTGCACGTTCCAAGCATGGATTAAAGATAATGAACCACAAGGAGAGCAGAGGCCTTGTATTTGCCAGCACCAGTTAATACTTGGACAGCAGCTCACAAAACTCACCTGATCTGTCCTCCTCACTATAGGAAGATGCAGAGGGGTTTTTTAGCCAGAACTTACAGGAACTTAGTTCCGGCACCTCTCAGGTGAGCATCATTGCATTATAAGAGAACAAGGGAGGAGTTCATGCTGAGTTCCAGCACCTCATTTTCTAGAAAAACAGCACTGGGAACCATAGCTGTCAATCTTTCCCTTATTTGCGCGAAACTCCCTTATTCCAGTGCCGTTTCCCGCTGCTGTCACGGATTGTTGATATCCTGTAAATTTCCCGGATTTCAAAGGAAACAGCTCCTGTCCCTCCCTGCTGGCCAGGAAGGCTCCTCAACTGCATTGCTCACCAGTAAGGAGTCTGAGAGGCGACTGGCGGGTGGAGCTTGCATGTCTTGTGCCGATCAAATCGGCCGCGTTGCCTGGGGACTCGCCTTTGCTTCAGCGCTTCCCAGCGGAGAGGTGACAGTGTGGTTTCCTTGCTGCTGTATCCCTTTGCCGGGGTTGCTGCGCTGTGCGAATCACCGGTTGAGGCTTCGTTTGGCTGCTGGCTGGGTCAGAGGGGCTCTACTGTGTGAGTGTGTGTGTGTGTGTGTGTGTGTGAGAGAGAGAGAGAGAGAGGAGAGAGAGAGGGGAGAGAGAGAGAGTGATGTGTCACTTAAGCTGATAGTAGGAATGCTGTAGCTTCACACACTTACCTTCACACAATGTGTAATTAACTTAGGGGAATTTTTTACCGCAGGATGTAGTACTTTAGATTTACAAGGGGACCTGAGAGATGAATGGGAGATACGGATTGTCAGTATTAATGGGGACAGCTAAATAGAAACTTAACCCCAAAAGCTAGGACCAAGATTCAAATCCTGACTGGGTAACTTGGCTCACTAGTAACATTGAACCATGAGGACGAGATGGTTGGACAGTGTTCTCAAAGCTACCAGCATGAGTTTGACCAAACTGTGGGAAGCAGTGGAAGACAGGAGTGCCTGGGACAGGTGAGGCTGCTGATCCCCTTATTTTTGAGCCTGCTGATCCCTTATTTTCAAATTCTGAAAGTTGACAGCTATGCAGGGAATATGTCATATTGATTCGTTTCAATGGGCCTTCTCTCAGTAGGTCTAATGTTGGATACAACACATTGCTTTTTTGTTGTTGCTCGCATAATTGTGTTTCTGTTTATCAGAAGAGGCCAGGACTGGTGCAAAACTGCCTCTCCACCTATAACCTCAAAAATCTTGTCCCTTGTCCCCCTGCCCTCCAAGATTTCAAGCATTGCTTAAATGAGAACGTTTTTGAATTTGTTGTATTCTGAATGCCCATCACTGCTGCACTCTCATAGAAGCTGTGTGTAGGCAGCATCTTAGAGCTCCAGCTTGTATTTTGGAATTTTGGGGTCCCTGCTGCAAACAAAAATCAGATTTAAGTGCTTAACACCTTTGTTCAATGGGCAAATTTATGGAAATGTGATGTAACAAATTTTAGGGAGAGCACACAAGTGTAAAGTAAGAGCGCCATCTACTGGTTTGAGTTTTGCTCATCCATAATTTGTGGATTATAACGTAGCATTAAATTCCCTTGTGTGCAGTGCATGGCTCATAACTGTATATGGTGTGTGCATATGTGAGTTTCTATAGTCGTCCATTCCTTCCTATGAGGGTTGCTGAAGGTGGAGGGCTTGTGCAAGTTAGGCTAGGAAGGGAAGAGAGTGTCTTGTAATACTTCTCTTGGAGATGCCACAGGTCCCATAGCACAGATGTGCAATCACATCCCCACAGTAAAACTTTCAGGTTCCACTTGCTCTTGCAAGAATTGTTGTTTACCCATGTTTTAGGTTTACCAAACGGTTTAGGTTTTAGCTGTTTGACTGTTAATAAACATCAGTTCCCCCAAAGTGGAAGCATTTTGCTGCTAGGATTATTTTATCAGGTTTGGGAAATGTGGTGCCAGTTTCACAACCACAGCATGCAGAACTGCACAGCACTTAAGCTATTATCAAAGTGCTAAATGATTGGTCTGATTGTTTTATCCAGAATATGACAGTACTTCGACATAGCACTCTTGAAACACCCTAAAAGAATAGGGCAGAAACTTGCTCTCTGCTTCCCTAGAGGGCAAGACTAGATTTAAGTCACAGAAAGGTAGATTTTGGTTGAATCCAGATTAAGGCTACAACCTGAGTCAACATGGCTAGATTTGCAGAGTATGTCTCCAGTCCTAAGTGTTGATATTAATATTTCCCCCTATTACATAAGGAGCTGGTGTCTCCCCCACTCAAAAATCTACAAGTATTCCAAGGGGAATTTATTTTAAATGAAAGATCAGGAAAGATAGGGTGAAAATGAGACAAAGGGAGGCTGCTAATAGACGATTTACTACAAAGATGGAAAAGGAAGTGTCCAGCTTTACTGGTGTTGTTGGTTTTTTAAACTTTTTTATTAAATTCCAAGAATAAACTCCGAGAAAAGGAGCTTAAAAGGCTGGAACTTCAGCTCATTCCCGGAGATCTGACAACTCCTCAGACGAGACACAAATGCTCCGCCTCGCCCCATCTCTAACGCCCTCGAGCTGAGCGGCTCCGGCGGAACCTTTGTCCTGCGCTCCCTTGTTTCTTTCCGGAGGCCGCTTAGCGTTGGAGCGCGTCTGTGCCCGATTGCCCCGTTGCCATGGGGATTGCCCGGAAGGAGCGTGTGCCCTCTTGAAAAAGCTCCCCCGGCTTTTCCGGTGTTGCGAAAGCGGCGTCGAGAAGGTAAGTCAGCCCCGGTAAAGGGGGAAAGAGGCTCCTGGGTGGCTGTCTAGGAGCCAGGCCGGGTTTTTTGGGGGGGGATGTGGGATTTTTTTGGAGGGCATGCAACCCGCGAGTGGCGTGGGCAGAAAC